TTTTGTGTTCATTTGCTTCAAGATATTTTCTAATTTCCATTGTGCTTTTCTTCTTTGAGCCATTGATTGTTTAAAAGTTTATTGATTAATTTCTATAATTTGTGAATTTTCCAGTTTTCCTTTTGCTTTTGAAATCAAACTAGAAATCTAGGAATTCCTGTCAGCTTCTTGAATTTAGATTTCCTTCCTCCGATTTGGGAAATTTTCAGCCATTATTATCACATCTCCTTGTCATTATAGACTAAATTTATACAAGGAGGAAGACCTTCACCAGTCAGCCTGGCTAGAGAATCAACCAGAGGGCCTTTCAAACATTTTCTAGTCATAGGTCATCTCTTGGCCTGTGCATATAATTTCCCAATTAGAAAAGTTTGCAAGTTTCTTTGTTAGGCATTCACAATCTCTTGCTGCTTCTGTTGTCCGTAACACTGCAAATTCTCTGGTGCTACAAGTGCCAATCTCTTTTTTGTTCTCATCAACCCCCATACATTCAAAATATAGCGGTTCCCATGCCCTCCAAGTCAGGTGAGACAGAAACTAGTCCCTCATACAGCCCCTGGAAAAGGTAGAACGGTGCACTTACATTCCACTTTCATTTTCCCTCCCAAGCAAGAAATCACAAGTCGGGTATTTTCTCCTAGTCGTGCCAAGTTGTGCTGGCTTGGGGGAAGAGTTATCACAGGTGAAATGCAGTGGCTTTTCTTACCCATTTCAGTACAGCTGTTCTTTCCTCTGAGCTTTAGTGGGAGTCTGGCATGACCTTGGGTTCTGCTTTGCTTCTCTCTTGAACCCAGCAGCCCCACATGAGGAGCTCTCCCAGCAGATCACTTGCTTCCTTTAAGGGCAGATCTCTCACTTTAGGGCAAGAGTAGAACCTCTAGCCACTTTGTTATAAAGTGGCACGAAAAGGGCTCCCATGGCCCCAGCTTTTCTGGAGATCATTCTTTAATGCATTTACTTTAATGCTGACACCCAGGTCTAATCTTTTCCTTTTGTGGAGTTAAATCTGACATTGGCCCCTCTCTGGGGCTTCTTTGGTAGGACCTGCATTTGTCTCAGGTGACTTGAGCTACACTTTTCACTTCATTGGTCCTGTCCTCAGAAGTTCTGGCAGTTTCTCTTGTTTTCCAGTCTTGTTCCTTTTAGAATATATATTTCTGTCATTTCAGGGTACTCTTGGGAGGTGGAAGAAGTAGATGTCCATGCTTGGTCTACCATCTTAAAATGACAATCACCGAGGTTGTTTTCTTAAGAGCCTAATTCTGTAATATTTTTTCAATCTCTGCTCCATTAGTCATTTTTGTTAATTGGCATTTGGTATGCTATTTGTCTGGTACTCAACAGAGGATACTTTTTTATAGAAGTTTTCTTTTGTTCATTTGTGGCTGGGCTCTGAATGGAAAGAGGTAACACTTCAGATACACCACCGTAGGAATCAAATTAGTTTTCCAGAATTCTAAGAATTCAACTCTAATTTGCATTTTCTGTTTCAGAAGAGACAGGGTTGGGGACACATCTCTACAAAACACAGCTGCTACTGCTGATCATATCACGAGTTTTCTAGTTTTTGCAGAATAAAATGGTTTTGCTCACTCTCTGTGCACCTGGCATGAGATTCCCAGGGTTTGACAGCCCTGCCATGACCAAAGGTGAGCTACGCTCTGAGAGCAGAGCAGGCAGTACTTTACTGCTGGCACCGGAAAACATTTAGCTTCTCTGAGTGCTAATTTTCTCTGGTCCTGTTCTTTTTCCCTTTCGCTAGTGAGACATCCTATAATCATTGCTTAAAGCATACTGTTGTGAGGAGCCAACTTCTTTGTATTTATTGGTTTAAAAATTCTGCCCATCTTCCCACCCTACCCCCCACTATTTCTTTTCTCCCTTACATTGTTTAGGATATAATTTTCCAAGTTTTAGTTTAAAAGAAAACTGTTGGTGAAGAATCACAATCATGGCCCATAAAATATCTTCACTTTTCATAGACAGGCTCCTTCTACCCAGCTCTTCATTATGAGTGTATTTTTCTTCAAATGTAAGTAGGTTTCTATTTTATCTTAGGTTTTCTTTTATTTAAGTAAACAAATCAAAATGGCTGAATGCTTTTTATAATTTTTTTTTCTCAGATCTGTTAGCATAAAGCTGTTCTCAGCCTTAGAACAGAATTGCTATATGGAAAATATAAATAATATCCAAAAAATTGATCCTAAGAAATACAGTGCTATAAATGTTATTTAGATTGCCAGGCTAGACTACAGAAGCTTATTTAATCCATTATGATGCTCAACTTTAATTCTAGTTCCTGGATAGAAGAAGCCAGTAAGAAGCAGATGAGGATAAGGAAGGTCTGATGTACCCTTTTCTTACCATGGAGATAACATTGGTCCCTTTCTGCTTCTCTTTACCCCTCTTCCTTGAAAGTGGTCCTCTGCTGCTGAAGCTGCTTATGTCTCTGCTGTGGTGTCTTCCCACTCCACTCCCAAGTATTCAACTTTATTTTCCAAGGGATGGAGGACAGAGAGAAATAATTTGCTAGTACCAACTAATTAAATTAATTAACTAATATCTGTGAATGGTTGATGTTCCTGAACCTTCCCAGAGGTGTTTTCACTTTTTACAGGAGATATGTATTAAAGCAAATAAACTTGTAATCGGTGAAAGTTCTGGGAGTTTAGCAAAGTAGGAGAAAAACCAGTGTGACAGATTAGGGGAGGTTAGGAAGTAATGGACAAAGTCCACCATCTAAGCAGTCTGGCCCTGCATAAGTACTCTTTACATATTTGCAGTGTAAATGAATACAAAATGACTACTTTCCCCAGCTTCTTTTATTCTTGGTCTCCAGTTAAAAAAGTTCTCAGAGCTTCATTTTGTCTAATTTTGGTCTGTTTACTGGGCAGATGAGCAATTGTGACCAGATGGGCTTAAGAGCCTGGCAGGGCATATGTAATTTGTTTATTAAGTGAGGGATTCCTGTTTTCTTTTTTATGTAAAGTTTATACTTCTTTATATAAGTAACTCATAACCATTAAAGACTAAAGCTCAAGAGATCACCCATAGTGCCATCATCCAAAGAAAACCATTGTGCAGATGTTATATTTTAGGAAAATAAACTATAGAGAATTACTCATAAAATTACTCATGTTGCTATGTAAGTATTTAAACAATAAAATGGCCTTTTGTTTTGATTAATATTATCTAATATAAACTTTTTTAAATTCATGAGAGTTTTATGACCATTTCACATGGAAACCATAGCACCTAAGTCTGTGGTGGCCTTGCTAAGTCATCAGTAGCCAGTCCTGGTTCCCAAAGAGTTAACACACCTTCCAGATGTTTTGTTTTGTCTTTTAGTTTCTGCCAAGACTCTGAGGAAGAATAAAGGGGTACAGATTTATTAGGAGAGATGGAAAGGGGCCAGTGACTTGATCATGGTGGGGCTCTGGCAACTTATGGCCACACATTTTCTGAAAAGTGTGGAAGATTTGTTTTTATCCACTAATTTATTTCTTGTCTAACATTTCCACTGAAGCGATTGCCTTATATACAATTATATCTCAGTATTCTATTGGAATGAAATAATGGCACAGTATAGCCCTTTCTGAATTATTCACTTAATCTTTGGAGATTATATCCAGGTTCCTGTTAATTCAGTTAGTTTAGAATTTCAACATACGGTATCATCTGATCCGTGCTGTTTTCCTACTATAGACCCCTAATCAGTATCTTCCAGTGTTGTCTTTGATCACAGCATTCACATTTACATGAAGGCTGCCTGTCCCTGATCTACTCCAAGTCTCTTGTCAATACCAGGCACTGCCTGGCCTGCTCTGGGGTTCTGCTGATTTTCAAGTCTTCTGATTGAATTATTGCTTGCTCTGTCATCATGCTGATTTCCTTCACTATTTCATGCTTCTCCCAGGAGAAATCCATTTGTTATTTATCCATTGTCCTCCTTTTGAAAATATCACATTAAAGAATTCATTTAATTTTTTTCAACAGTCTTTTTCTGTTAATAATTCAATGCAGCATTTCTTAAAAACTGTTCCATCTCTTTCATTGATTTTTTTAATGCCTTTTAATTATTTCTTACCTTTAAAAACTCACAGCTTTTAATACTTAGTAGTTCATGCTGTCACCACAAGACAGCTTTATTCCTTTGGTTGTTCAGATTTCTGTGGGTGTTGATCCTGGGTCACAGGATGATGCTAGGTTTAGAGAAGCATCAGTAGGTTGAGGCTGTGCATCTAAAGAGCAGGATTAACAATAGAAGCAATACTGGCGGCTTAATTATAAATCTCATGCCATTATATCATGGAGAGCCTTGTTATGATGCTGGTGTGGAACGTAAATACATAGCCAACTTTTAAGTTTCCACCTTCTAGTGGATACACTCTATGTTTCTGTGAACCTTGCTACCTTACACGGAGTCAGCAGCATGAGGTTACAGTCATTCAGTTAATCAGCTTGATTAATTGAATTAATCATCAATTTACTGATGATCATGTTATGAGGGAAACTACATCAGACACTATCGAGGATGTAGAAGATTCAAGGTACCTTATGTTTGAGACACATGTGCGCTTCATACAACTCAAACCAAAGCTCAACACAGAAGGATGGTTTTGGGCAGAGAATGGAATAATTCTACAAATATTATACACTAAGATACATTGTTAATGCATAGTCAGAAAAAAATTCTGTAGAAGACTTTGGAATAAACTTTATTTTTCTATAAAACATTAAGAGTAGCATATGATATCAATGTATAGGAATAACTGATTTTAAAAGAATAAAGCAGAGTAACTCCATAATTATTGAATGGTCCACAGTGGGGTGGCCTAAATATAACTCATGGCCCGGTTGATCTTTGATACTTCACAGTCCAATAATTAGAAATTATCTAAGATTAATGAAAAGGATCTCATATTGCTTAGGTACCAATTTATTTCCTTGCACATGTGGTCTAATGTATCACATTGACATGTACTCTTCCTTGTTTTCAGCATGCGCTTCTGGCTTTAAAGTTTATACTGGCATTTGCTATACCTGATAAACCGCAGCATATCCAGGTGAAACTAGCCAGATTGGAATTTGAATCTCTGGAGGCACTCAAGCAGCAGGTAAGAGCAATTGTCCTGAAAAATGAATGTCTTTCTTTAGCAAATGATAGGAAACATAATTCAGAAGAATCACTGACAGCATTTCTTCAGCCTTGAAGTTACCAGTTTAAGTAAATAAAGATGACTCCAGTTTAGGATGGCATAACAAAACCAAAATCCTAACAATATGAGCAACAAATAGGTTTAGAGAACTAAACTAAGCAGACAAAAATATTTAAGCAATGTTAAATAAAGAACAGTTAGCAAAAGAACAAGATAGAGATTTCTAAGATCACTCTGGGGCAGCTCCCCACAGTTTCTAATTCTTCTCTCTGCAGCAACATTAAGTGAGGAGAAGTGAGTAAATAGAATTCTGAATAGTATCTTGCAGAGACAAACCATAATGAGTTTGGGTGGATAGAAACAGCAAAAATTGTCATGAAAGAGAAAATGCTCAGTAACTTCACATTCTACCAGAGACTTCCCCCCCCCTAAAAAAAAAGCCATGCTGGAATTCACCATTTTGGTGATTTTCTGCATGTAGGGGAAAGAAAGCAGAGAGACAGAAGATTCCTAGATGCCCAAAGCATCTCTCACTAGTTATCCCCAGTGTTACATAGGAAATTAAGCAACAACAAATCAATAAGGTAATATCATCTGAGGGGACAAGCTCTGGGTCCAGGACCTCTTGGACCCATACTGTCTCTTTGGCCTCTAAACCACTTTGCACAGGAATATTTCTTCTTGTGTTTGGAGAGTTGGGAGGAAAACAAATGTGGAGAGAACTCACCCAAGCTGTTCCTCTGATAGAAGCATGGGGGCCCAAGGATACTCCCCCTGACTAGGTGAAGTGACCCCAGAAGGACTTGTGATAAGAGTATGGAAAAGAGGGAGAGCCTGGGCCCATCAGCCAGAGCTGTGCTCATGTGCACGGTAGATGGGAAGACTAAGTTGCCCGTGTCTCCTGGCGGCAGGGCAAATTCACTTTTGGCAGGCGGGCTAGGCAGTATGTTTGTATAAAAAACAAAGGCCAGCATCGTGCTCACTAGTGAAACTCCAGAAGCTTCCCAGCATTGGCAAGAAACCCGTCATCACCATCGCTGTGGAGATGCTTACCAGCGCAATTGTATAAGGGCAAGAAATAAGTCCAAGTAGCCCGAAGAGGCAACTTGGAAAATTAGAGGATTATATACCTAAAAATCGTAAAATTAATTATTAAAAACAATAGGAAAATTTGGTAAGAAGGCGCAGAGTACAAAGTTTATATAAAATCACTTGTTTCCTTTCACAAGAAATAATAACCAGTTAGAAAATATTGAAGAAAAATTCACATTATGAAAGAAACCAAATATAAAACCATTTAGATGGTAACTTATGAAAACAATAAGGATATTATACATGAAGAATATTTTATAAACTGGGATCAAAAGCTTCAATTTTGTGAAAGGGCAATGCCAATTCAAATATGTGGAAATGAACATTTGAAAATAGCAAGGAAACTTCTGAAAAAGAAGGAAAATGAAGCTAGCTCTGCCAGACATTAAAATATGTTCTGAATAATACAATAAATATAATAATTAAATACATTTTGAATAGGGAAGAAATAGACAGATCAGTGGAATAGAGCATAGAGTCCGTAAATGGACCCAAATTAAACTGGGAATTTAGTTTATGGTAGAAGTGACATTTTATGTCAGTGGAAAAAGAGAAGGATTATTTGTTACAAGGTTTGCTCAGCTTCCATTGATGACAAACAGCTTTTTGCTAAAATTATTATACTTTATTTTACTTCTTTCCTTTTGAATACCACCCTCACTCCATGCCACCAAATTCAGCCAGTTAAGAGATTTAAACGTGAAAAGTTAAAGCAGGTCAGGTGGGGTGGCTCACACCTGTAATCCTAGCACTCTGGGAAGCTGAGGCAGGAGGATTGCTTGAGGTCAGGAGTTCGAGACCAACCTGAGCAAGAGTGAGACCCTGTCTCTACAAAAAATAGCAACATTAGCTGGGTGTGGTGGCATGTGCTTATCGCCCTAGCTACTCGGGAGGCTGAGGCAGGAGGATCACTTGAGCTCAGGAGTTTGAGGTTGTAGTGAGCTATATTGATGCCACTGCACTCTTGTTGGGGCAACAGAGCAAGACTCTGTCCTCCCGCCCCCCCCAAAAAAAATCTCAACCATAAAAAGTCATTTAAAAAGCCTAAGTACATCTTCCAGTGGGAAATACCTTCCTAATCAGGACACACAGCCGCCAAATTATAAAATACTGTTAAAGTAAAGCACATGAACATTTAGAACTTTATATGACAAAAATAATCAAACTCAAAAGATAAATTGAATAAACTAGGAGAATATTTGCACATATGACAAAGGGTTAATATCTTTAATGCAAAAAAAGTTTCTAAGTGTTATAGCTCTTTAGAATTTTTCTAGAAGGTTACAGCTCTTTTAGAATTTGTTTAGACATTCTTTTATATATTATTGGCAGAGGTATAAACGGGTTCAACCTTTCTAGAATGCAGTTGAATAAAAATTTCAGTTACTCTGCAACACAAAACTCTTACTGCGATAATGATTTTATCTGCAGAGTGTACCAACATACGGTGATTGAAACATTTTTACTAGCAGAAATGTAGAGACAGCTAAATTCCTCAGTAGAAGACTGGTTAAATAAGTTACAGCATATCCGTATAGTAAAATTCTGTGAATCTGTTTTTGTTTTTAAAAAATTGTGCTGGTGTATATTTGTGTGCATTTGTGCACACTGCTTATTTTATAAAATGGAAAAAAGCAAGATATAGAACAATATGATCCACTTCTAGTCAAATCTTAAAGAAAAGAAGGAACGCAGTGAAGAGAAATGTATGAATGCTACAGGTGTATTTGTTTTTGTTAGCAGGGCTCATAGAAAACCCCAAACAGTAGTTACCTTCAAGGAGAGGGATTAAGATTTTCCTTTTCAGGTACAGTTTGTATTTTCTGACCATATGCATGTATTACTTCTTTTTTTTTTAAGATTTTAGATTTTTTTTTTTTATTTTGGCATATTATGGGGGTATAGATTTTAAGGTTTCAATAAATGCCCATTTCCTCCCCGCCCCCCAAAAGTCTGAGTCTCCATCATGACCATCCCCCAGATGGTGCACATCTCACTCATTATGTATGTAAATACCCACCCCCTCCCCCCTCCCGCATGTATTACTTTTTTAAGGTAAACAGAAATTCTCTGGGAGGGGGGTGTTATTTGCCATTTGTTATTTGTATACCTTTCTGCACTTAAAACGTTAATGTCAGTAAATTAGGAATGAAGTCATTCCTTCTGTTGGTGGTGTGAATAATTTTTTAAACCTCTTATGCCTCTTTGGGACACATGTGGGCACATCCTCCACATACTCTTCCTCCTCCCTCCTCATTTTTTACAAACATTCATATACATTTTTTTAGATAAAAAATACAAACATCACGTGATATTTTTAGAGTAGAATTTATTTTCTCATAAAGTATACTTTATAAAGTTTGAGGCTATAAATCAAATGTGAAACCAAGTTGCAATATGAGGCCAAATGGGATTTGTTTGTAAACTCCTCTGTAAACCTCTCAGGTGAGGTCAGAGTGACACCAAGACTAGAGGACAGACCTGCAGGCTGTTAATTTGACACCCCATTCAGTATTTTAAAGTACTTGCTCAGCTTCCATTGAAGAGGGGACCAAGACAACATGGGTGTGGGACAGAAACATGGAATGAATGGGAAGAGGTCTGGGCAGAACATAGCCCCTGCAAACAGCCACATTCCTCACACTATGCATGGAGCTGTGGGCACAGACACTTTTAAGGCCTTGATTTTTAGATGCTCAACTTACACATGTACTCTTTCCTAAACACAACTGCCCGAGGGTGCCCTGGTGTCCTACTGGTTTTCCACATTGCAGAAGAAAGGCACACCTCTTTTTCATCTTGAACTCTATCCTGTGCCTTGTTCCCAGGGTAAAAACCTCCCAGGTGGCAGAGTATCTTTTAAAACAGAGATGTCAGGGGCTAAGCTACATTTCATAAAGGCATACCAGTCTCCAACCCACAAAACCAAATCTGTCTCCTTAAGAGATGCATTTCTAAAATGTATCCAAAAATCTATATTCCATAATTATTTATTAAATATATATGTATATAATCTTTATCATTTATGCACCAGTGATACTTATAATGATCAATCAGTCCAGAAGAAAATTTTAAACACTTACAGAGAAACTTATGTCACAGGAAATTTTAAATGTTAATTTATGAGTATATTGTTGCAGCACAGTATGAGAGAGTTCTTTATAAAGACTTTCAAGCAAAAGAAATATACTTTATTAGGATAAAATTCTTTGGGAGAAGTAGAAAGAAAATATGACTTAAAGAAAAACAAAATTTGTAGTATTAATTGAGAGGATTCATGTATTTTTTTTAATGGTTGATAGTGGATATCACATCACTATGTTATTTAAAATTCCTTGGATAGCTTTAAAAGAATGACTTAATAATTTATTCTTAAGTGTCAGTAATTACCATATGCTATCAAATACATTTTTGCAACTAATTTATGATGAAAGATTTTAGATGTCAGTTTAAAATTGTGTTTGAGAGTATATAGCATCTAAAAATTTTAAGGAGTATTTAAGAAAAATTTTTTTAATGTACAGTGTTGTCTCTGGAAGAGTTTTGGTTAATCAGTTTTCTCTAATGGTTACATGTCTGGTGACATTTGATAGATCAGGCGAGGCTATTTTCTAGCTGGTGCACACACATCTTAACTGCTGGTCAAGGAGAGTCTTGCTTCATGTTAGGAAAGTGTTCTCACTTGGGATTTCATATTACCATGTATTTGTCTGAAAAGCACAGGGTTTTTATTGATGTTGGATATTATCAACATGTCTCATGTTACTAAATACATTTACCTAAAAGTCCCAATGCAGGGCTATTACATCTGGGAGTATCAAGGATATGAGTTTACTGTGGATATGGCCAAATGACCTCTCAAGTCCTTTCAGCTCTTAGATTCCCATATCTTCAGATACACTGTCCCTGACAGTGAGGCAAAGCCCTAATTCAAAATTTATTTACACTCATCTTCATTGAGAGGTGAAACACTGACCAAAATTCTCTCATACAGGTTGAGTATCCATTATCCAAAATGCTTGAGATCAGAAGTATTTCAGATTTCGGAGTTTTTCAGATTTTGGAACATTTGCATCATACTTACTGTTGAGCGTCCCTAATCTGAAAATCTGAAGGCAGAAATGCTCCAGTGAGCACAGTTTTTTGAGCATCACGCCAGTGTTCAAAAAGTTTTGGATTTCAGAGAATTTCAGATTTTTGGATTAGGGATGCTTAACCTGCATTACTTAAAAAGAAGAAAAAATCTAAAGGATTTTAAGTCTCTTTGGTGTTTTTTTCCTCCTGAGGACACAGATGTAATTCTGATTAACATCACCTTGCAAGAAAAGGTGATTTTTGTGCTGATTTTGCTATTACCATTCTGGAGGGACAGAAGTGTGTCTCAGGTTTCCACTCAGTATAGTTATCAAATGCTGTCAAACAGGACATTCCTAGCTTGCTCTAAAGATGATATCTAAATTTACGATTGTGCAGCTTGCATGTTTGTGATCTATCAAGGGGGCAGGAGGCAATGACGAGTGTTGTCAGGATCTCTTGGGGCCTTGCAAACCCAAGAAAAGCGTTTCTCCCTTCCTGTATCCACTATACTTTTTTTTTCTTTTAATTATCAGTCTGAGAACAAAAGGTTCGGGGTAAAAATTGGGCAGAAGATACCACAGCAGCTGCCTCTTCGTGCTGTCTCTCTCGCTGACCCACAACTTTGCTGCATGGCCGGCACTGCTGCATGGGCCACCCTTGTTTGTACTGCCATCAGGGAGAGACAGAGATTTTCATCGTATTTCCTGTTTAGTCTCACTGCCCAGGCAGTCCTAGAAGGTCCAGAAGGTCAACCACTTAGTGCTTTTCAAAGACTCATATTAACTGGCCGTGTCTTCAGTTTATTTGCCAAACTACTGCCATCTCTAGGATACGGAGTTTTTTCTTTAATCTGACATTTAACTGTCTGCTTTGTAACTAAGCTAGCCTCCACTAACTGGGCTCTTCCCACATACCAAAAGCAGAGGGAGCCTCTGCTACATCCCCTGGTTGGTTTCTGGGCTCAGATCAGAAATGGAGTTATTGAAAATATTTAATAATAAATCTCACTAATACCTGGCCTATCCTTGAACTCTCACTGTGAAGTAACCAGAAGTTGATAGTAAGCTTGTCAATGGAAATTATGATTACTTATGAATAAATATTATGCTTAATTTATATTTGAATTGCTACTTTCCGACTCAATTCCTATCTTATGGACAAAATATGATTGAGAAATTTAAGTCATCAGACAGTTCTTAAATGGGATTGTACATTTTAAATACAAAACTTTTGAAAAACACATGTCTAGACCTTGCACCCTAAAGATTCTAATTCCTTAAGTTGAAGGTGGGGCCCAGGAGCCTACACTTTAAAAGACTTCCTGTTTCTCCATACCTGCTTCCCCTCGTCCTCACACCCCAGTAGAGACGGATCCCAAGCATGGCCATGGGAGTTCCAAGAACAAGCAGGTTCTAGGACACTTCTGCCACTATGAATGAGTCTGGTGGCCTCTTTGCACCTCAGTTTTTTTTTTTTTTTTTTTTTTTTTAAATAAAATGAAAGGCAGGATTCCATGGTCCATGGGAAGACCCAGAAATCTCCATTTTTAACCAGCCCTTAAAGTGATTCTGATGCAGGAGCCCTGGAGCCCATTTGGAGAAGTGCTCTGTGGGTTCAGTTTTTCCTCCCAGCTTGTGATAGGAGAGTGGTGGTGGAATGCTGGAATGAATGTGGGAAGGGAATGTACTGAAAACACAGCTTTTTTGGGTATCAAATAGGAAACTATGTGGTGTTTCTAAATATATAGGCAACTTAGATATACTTGAAGGTGAGAGGCAAACTGAGGAAAATAAAACAGTTTGCTTTGCAAAGGGCATTTTCAAATGATTAGGCTTCAGTTAGCTGAGACCTTTACGAATTCTAGACAGTAAATATCATCCTAGTGATGCCCTTTTATTTCCTTTCAAATTGATTCAACTCTCAGTCACTTTAAGATCCAATTAAAAATAGAAAGGATTCTCATCCAGGAACCTTTGATAACTCGATGGCCTGGAGCACAAGGACACAACATCCTCAGTGCAGCCACTACTTAATGGGCCTCTGGGCAGCCAGCCCTCCTGGGAGCCCAGAGCACACACAGAAGCCAGGGAGCAGACGGCTGCCTGGAGCCTTTGAGAAAGAAAGCAGCCTCAGGAATCAGCTAAGAGAACAAGATAAGCACTAACAGGACACTGCAACACTAATTATAGCCCTTGAGGGCCTCAAATCAGGTGTGGGACCCTCAACCTGACAGGCCACCTGGGCCTGTCCTCATCGCGTATTATCTTTGTTTTCTTGAGTTAAGTATATTTAAACCATTTCCCCCCAACATTTCCTAAGAGCTTCTGAACCTTTCTGTCCCTACATCTGTGCTCCCAAGTTGTAGTAAAAATATAAATATTTTTAATGGAAACTAAACTTTTGCCGCATAGAATGAGGATGCTAAACTATTTGATTGTTGAATATGTAATCACTTTTTGATCTGCCAACATGTGGTTCACGCTTGAAACCTGACTCCAGAGGGAAGAGGGGGAAAGGCAACACATGTAACCTAAACATCTGTACCCCCATAATATGCTGAAATAAAAAAATAAAAAATAACACATGTAGTCAAGAATGAAATGTTGAATCCAAATAAAGAATTGGTCTCTGTCGAAGCCAGTGGCTAGCAGTGGCAGAGCCATAGTGCTCGGGGAAGGGATGGTCCATTTCCCAGGGCCCCAAGTCAGGTCCAGGTCCAGTAATTCTTAGATAAAGGCACCAAAGTTTACGGTGCTTTGAGCATTTGGGTGGCCCATCTGAGCTGGCCCCTCCCTTCCTTGCCGAGTCAGACAGTTTATCTCGCAGCCCCGTGCAGTAAGTGACTTGACCTTCTTTTGTTAGTCTCCCCAGCACTCAAATGGGGCCAAGAAAAATGGTACTGACTGGTGCAAGGTTGAGGTGAGACTAGAATGAGGCAATATGGCAAGACACAGCATGAAGTGGGGCAGTGGGTGGCATGAGGATGGTGAGGGAGAAGGAGGACCACCATATACCTTATGAGGTCACTGGGTGAAGCCAGCAAGGGACAGTAGGTTAAAAAAAATGGTACCCTAATACCAGATTTGCATGGTGAGTTGGGATTCCATCTTTGCAGCAGTCCCACCTGTTTTCATGGCCTAACACAGCTGGCCGTAATAACCATAAGGGGAGTAACAGCAGGCATGTAGCGGATGGGAATGTAAGCCAGGCACTGCGCTAAACTTTCCACATGTGCCAGTGAACAGTTCTTCAGAACAGTTCTCGGGAGTAGAGTCTTAGCCATTTGCAGGTGATTTTTCACACAGTAGATTTCTCTCCAGTTGATAATAATCTTCTTCAAAGGTGGTTGATGCATTCACAGACATTAGCTCCCATGCACCTCTTTAGCCTCCTCTCCTATAGTTCTTTGTCTTACTTTTAGGTCTAGAGGACTGCTGAGCACCCCTGCTGTTTTGTGACTCTGCTCACCTGCACACCTCCCTCTGTGGTCAGCTTCACAGACCCCACCTCCTGAGGAAAGCCTTCCCCTCCTTGTGTGACATAGGGCCTAGTGCCCATTTCTGCACATTCACCCTGCTGTAGTTGGTTCTGCTTCGGCTTCCCTGTAAACACCCTATATAAATTGCTACTTGTCCAATTGTTTCCAAAGCAAAATTTCCCCAAGGGTCAGGCAATGCCTCACCCCAAGTCCCCTCACCCACAGGCCTGGTGCCCAGCAGACTCTAAATAAATCTATGCTTAATCAAACTGAGTTTGTTGACTCATACATAGTTCAGAAGCCAATATATTAAATAAATGGCAAATGATGTCCTTGGACAAAAAAAGAAGAGTCTTAAAATAGATACTTGACAAAAATGGAAACAAGCTCATATGCCTTTCTGGGATCACTGGGGAAGAGAACACATTCTGAGAAATTACATGTGAGCACTTTACAAGGACCCCAAAGCTAGCCTCAGTAAAGTTCCAATCCTATTTTTTTTCTTAAAACTGACTGTGGCTGATATTGGTAACAAGGGTAACTCCCTAAGACTATAAAATAGACCCAGGTCAAGCCAGATAGAATTCTAAACAGTTTGTACTTTGTACTTGTTAGCTAGAAAACTAGCTAACAAATCCAGGCTCTAGAACAGCCATTCTCTTACCACTGATTGGTAGACCACACCTGCGCCCCATCCCTGTATTTTCTTTTCTTGCTAGAGAAAAATTCTTTAAAGTGCATGGAGGCATCCAGATAGTACAAGAAGACTACAGCTTTTGTGATCATTTTTATCTTCCTCAGTAAACAATCTATGTAAATTGCTATTTATCTCATTGTTTTTCAAAGCAAAATTTAAAATTTATGTATTTTAATTTCTCTCCCCCAATATAAGAAACAGGGCCAAAGGAGAACCAGATTTATTCTTACTTGTGGAAACTACTAAATAGGCCATGAAATGGGATAAAATTTAGCATTTTTCTAGTCACTATGTTGGCAGATGTGAAGATAGGAGGCTCTGGGGCACAGGTCCACTCCCCAGAGAAAGGCCTCGGCCACCGGGCAGTAGATGTGATGCCCGTGGGCTCTGGACCATGTTCACGTGTCATTAAAATGTATCTGCACTTGTAAAGAAAAAGTCACCCATAATAAATTATTTTAGAGATTTCAGAATGTTTACAACTGTATATTTAAAAACAAATAGACATATATTTTTTTAAGTTGAAGAACTTTAAGAGTTCCAATCTCAGATTCTGTATTAGATTAATAATTACATTGCCTGGAGGACTGACACGTGAGAGTAGCGGTTCCTTTTGCAGGTCATTGCCTGGGATTGACTGTTATGTATCCATTTATTTACTTTCCACTAAATGTTCTAGGATATTAAAAGATTACATTGTTAATGAAAAGAGTTATGAGGATGGATGGTGGTGATAGTTATATTTATTACCACTGAACTGGACACTGAAAAATGGCCTAAGATGGTAAATTTTGTTACATGTATTTTACCACAATAAAAAAAAATAATAAAAATTTTAAAAAACATTATACCATTGACACATCAAGTTTAAAGATTTTTATCTGTGGCTACTAGACTAGAAGCTTTTGGGGAACAGGATTACTGTTTGCATTTTATGTTTGTTGAGTGAGTCTTTAAGTGAATATTATTAAAGTTAAAGCCCATCCCTTTGCGTGTTTTTCTACTGAATGCTAGTCCCGTGACTTTGAAATTACCCTGTATGTGTTATTTTTCATATTAGATTCAGGAAACCATTATTCAATACTTACAATGTGTAGGAAACCACACTTTTTTAAAACCTTTTGTTTTTAATTACTAGTAAATTGCTAAAATAGGAAACCTTTTATTTAACATAATAAACAGTATTGTTTTTCCATTGCTTTCCAGTGCTACTAGATCTTGCGAATATGATTGCATATCTTACCATGCAGTGAATGTAGACCAGAGAGATTGGGCTGAAAATACAGTGATTGATAGATGAGGAAATTTAGACTTTTAAAGTAAATCCCTAAGAACAGCACATTTGGTGGTTTGTCTCTTTCTCCTAAGAATAGAATGTAGAAAACAAGAAATGTTTGGATTTAAGAACACTTTGAAACACCATAAATTAATAGAAAATAATCACTTCACACTAAGAATGGTTTTGAGAACATAAATAGTAATATTACAGTGAATCCATATATAAGTCAAAATGAAAATACAGATACTAAAATTCAGCAACAAACATTGAGTATATTCTATGATCAAAGCACAAAAATATAACATATCAAAAATTCCCTGTATTATATAATTCTCAAATGTTAGAGTTGAAAAATTCTATAGAAATGATCTTGTCCCAAACCCTGATTTTATAGATTAAAAATGAGCCTCTAACTGTGGTTGTCAGCTTCCAAGGTGGTCTCTAGTGATCCCTGCCTCCAAGTATTTATACCCCTGTGGAGTCCCCTCCCACCGTGTGTCTTGGCTGGTGTGTGTGACCAGTAGAGAGAATACTGCAGAAATGATATTTTTCTCTTCTGAGGCTAGGTCATAAAAAACATGATGCCTTCTGCCTTCTTATCCCTCTTGAATCACTTGCTCTTGGGAAGCTAGCTGCCATGTTGTAAAGACGCTCAAGCAGCCAGTGGAGAGCCCCACAGGACTAGGAACATGACCTATTGCCAACAGCCATGTGAGCAAACGATCTTAGAAGCAGATTCTATGAGCCAGGAGATAGCAAACCTTTTCTATAAAGGGCCAAATAGTAAATATTTTAGGCATGTCAGCCATACAGTGTCTATCACACCTACTCAATTCTGACATTGTAGTACAATAACAGCTGTAGATTTTATATATATATATAAAAGAGAGTGGCTTTGTTCCAATAAAACTTTATTTACAAAAACAGGCTGTGAGCCACATTTAGCCTATGGATGGTAAATTGCCATTCCCTCCTTTAGCCTTGGTTAAGTCTTCAGATGACTACAGCTCGTGCCTTCATCCTGACTACAGCTTCGTTAGAGGCTCCAAGCCAGAGCCACCAGCTGCTTCCAAATTCCTGACCCATGGAAAGTGTGAGATAATAAATGCTTGCCATCTTAAGCTACTAAATTTTGGGGTAATTTGTTATATAGTAATAGATAACTAATGCCTCAGTAATCCAAGAATGGAGGCTGTGTGAGAAATGAACCAAGTTTGGCTGTGAGTGATGTTGAAGCTAGGTGATGGTCCATGGAGGTTCATTATCCTCTCTACTTCTGCATAATGAGAAGTTAAAAGAAAAAAAGGAAAAGAAGGATAAGTGGTTTGTCTAAAATCAGACAATCAGTAAATCACAAAGTCTTTGTCTCTTAAGCCCTGTGTTCTCTTGGGTACCTCTCCCTCCTAGTAAGAGCCCATATTTAGCCATTTGGTTAAATTTTCCCCCAAATTCTTTACCTCCTTATTATCTCCAAGTTAACATCCAAGATAATTCTTTGGATTTTGGTATCATTGCTGTTGTTGAACCATCCTTGAGGCCTCTTTATATTATAGACTCTAAAACTATCCCTGAGAGACGGAGCCTTCTTCAGACATCTACAAAGTTTTACCTCAGTGTGACCTGGAACATACTAATACTGGAAATTTACATTCATATGTAACTTTGCTGGTGACAGAGCACTAGCAATCCATTATCTTAATTAATCCTCACACAGGCTATAAGGATAGAACTGTCAGATCTCACTACAGCATTTTATTTTTGACTTTCAATAAAATAAATGCACTATGTGAAAATGCCTAGCACAGTGCTTGGCACATAGTAGGTTCTACATAAATCAGTGAGTTTACCTTCATTTTAAAATCCATTTGAAATTGGAAATGATCCTAGAAGGGTTTTAATTGGCATTATAAATAAATTCTTGAGTTGATTGTTAGGTACGCAAAATGGATGTTTGAAATAACTTGGTTTTTGGTTGTACCTACCTCCCCAGAGTGGTTGATTAATGACAGTAATCTGAATTTGGTTGGATCAAGAGGGTGATTCTGGATTATTCTAATCCTGTGGTTTTTTTAGGATAACGAGGAAATAAGATTTAGTATTGAATTTTGACAGTGTCATGCATTCAGGACTTTTAACCAGATGTCCCTGGTATGTCACTTAAAAATGAGATAAAATTATATGAACAAGGCCTCACAAGAAAGTGGTGGGAGAGCAAAAAGCAGAATACCAGAACACTAAATGCCATTGGATTATGAAATTCAATTCACAAACATCATTTCCTCTCCTTTTTCCCTTCAAAAGTCTGTTTAATGTTGTATTTTCCTACTCTAAAAATGTAGTTGGAACAAGTAAAATTTTTCCCCCATAAATTTCTGAGTTTTCATTTTTTATTTTTGGTGGCTAGCCTTTTAGATAGAGTTTACAAGGCAGTTATTATTTGCCTGGTAACTTATCAGGACTGTAATTTTAAATTCTTAATCTCCCCCCAAATCAATTTGAAAAAAAATTCTCTTACCAGTTTTTATCAGTAAAATAAATGGATCTTAGTATTCTACCCAGTTCTTCATCCAGGTTGCTTTAAGCAGTGTTTATATGGGTAGATTTGCAGACTCTTTTGTTTGAATTGTCCTAAAAAAAAAATGATAGGCATATTTTTAATTTGCAAGTCTGGTTTTAGTCACAGGCACAAGAGAAAATGAACTGCCAAATGTCTGGAAAATATAGCTTCAACCCCTTTTACTTTCACATGTGACTAAATATTGTTTTGATTAGAAACAGAATATATCTAGGTTGTTTTTTTTTGTTTTTTTTTTGTTTTTTTTACTTCTTGGACTCATGAATTCACTTTTTTTAATGTGTGTTATGGAAAACCATTTCCAAAAACATCAATCTAGGTTATTTAAACCATCCATGATAACTGTCCACAAATCATTTCTGTGAAAATGATGTGTATGATTTAACAATTGCAATAAAAGAATCTTGCTAAGGAATTGTCATTTTTATTCGGTCTGTACCAAAACATTGGCCTTAAATGAAGCATTTTGATTAGCTGAGGACATAATCAAAATACACCAAGAGCAGGGTGGTGGTTTGCATGCCTTGGTGTTAATTAAATGTCTGTTGGAGTCAGGTATATTTGTCTTCAGAATGCGAGCTTTTGCCATTACTAAGTAACTCTGGGCAAGTTTCCAAACATCTCTGGGTCTCAGTTTCTTCCTCTGTAAAATGGGTATAAAGATAAGAACAACCACACAGAATGAGCAAATATAGTCAAGCCCAGGTCAGTGACTCTAAGTCTATGGCTTTTCCCACCATATCACTATCTGGAAGATGCAGAGTGAACAGTGCAGATGGATCTTAATAACACAGAATTCTTGATTAAGTGTTAATGAAGAACTTCTTGATCATTAGGGGATAAAATACTTCCATCCTGCTAGATGGGCTGTTTTAATATTCCAGCCTTAGAGATCTTCCGGAGGAGAAGCCCCTACCTACTTTAGAGATTACCTGCTTTCTGGCAAAAAGCAGTCTCAGATCCCTTCCAACCCTATAATTCCTTTAAAATATTTGCTATTGAGCTATATTTTAACCCCAAACAGGTCATGTTGAAATGCTAATTAACCAAAATTAATTTGGATTTCAAATGAATTTCTGGAAACGAAGAGTGGTATAAAGTCACACTGGGAAGTGGCCTTCCTTCAGAAATTACTAGGAAGCTCTTATTGAACAGCTCTTTTTGGGCTCAAGCTTGAAAGAGTAAGTTTGCTCTTTTGGTAGCAGAATTCCCAGAGTCCTTGATCTGAAATAAATTAGAGCATGGAGTGTCCAAAAGAATAATGATATTAGTTTAACAGGATAGAATTGAGCTCCAAGTATAGTATGCTATATAATCTTACATGTATATCAATCACTATTAATTTTTTTGCTCCTTTCTGCCCATTTTCATCACTTCTTTTTTCTGTTTTTCAAGAAAGGGCAAAGGGCTAACTAAGTGGACAGAGCAGCCATTCTTTGCATCTGATGTTATCTGAATGCCCTTCTTTTAACTTTCTTTTCTATTTTTTTTTTTTTTTTGTATTTGTGCTATATTTACAGGATCCTCTTTTCTTTTTTCTTTTTTTTTTTTTTTTTTTCTTTTTTCTTTTAGTAAATTTTCCTCCTTTTTTTTTTTTTTTTTTTTTTTTGGTCTGTTTATGTTTTCAGATACTGATACATCCCTTTTTCATTCTGTTGGTTCTCTTCCAATTTTCAGAGGTCTTGGTCTCAAACCTTTCCCTGGAATGGTCTCAGGCCCTGTGGTCTCTGCTGTCAGCCAGAGTTCCTGCCTGGGAGGTTGTGTGTAGAGGATGATTTCTCTCATAAAGGGTCCCTCTTCATGGTCTGGGGTGGGGTTCAGAGCCCTCGGAGGTCCTCAGTGGAGCTGACCCTGGTGGGGCCTGAGAGATATGTAGGCTAGTTTCCTGGTATAGCCGGCAGGGCAAGGTGAAGACAAAGATGGATCTAATGCAGATCCTGCCATTAGGGATTTAGCCCTGCAGCCAATTTAAGTCATTCACTGTTTTCTGAAGAAAATGGTCTGCCTCTGTTGATGATCATAAACTAATTCACTTTTAAATGCCATACTAGATGGCAAACAAGGAGCCTATCTTACAGTGAACTAGAGCCAAAAAGTAAATGCAGCCTGAGGGGGAGAGAGCTTCTGTCTGTCCTCTCCTGGCCTCTTCCATAGACTTAGGCAGACAGAAGTGTAATAAAAAGTAAAGTGAGAAGAAACAGGAAGCAGAGAGTGAAGCATGTGAGCTCTGAGTAGTGGAAGCTGCCTCCTGCTACATAGGGTTGTTTTATCTCCAAGTATGGGCTCTTATATTGCTTTACCATAGTAAAGATTTTGTTTGCAATTACAGTGCACATACCTTCCATTGTTTGAACAAGGCAAGAAATTTGTCATTTGTATGGCTTCTTTCATTTGATCAGAAAAAGAATACTCTAACAATGAATGAGAAGTGTTGTCAAAAGGATTAGGCAGCCCTCGCCATGGAGACGGGCAGTTGACTCAGAAGTGCTAGATGCACTGTAGAATGGGAACAGCTTCGCAGGGTTGGGAGAGTAAGTGCACAGACAGTGCAGAGCAGCTGGTCCAGCGCCTGGCTCCTGACAGTGTGCTCAGCCACTGTCAGCAGCCCTTATCTGTGTGGTGGGAAGCCATGAGTCTTGGCAATGATCTCTAGTCCTCTCCTTTTCCACATTCTCCTAAAATTCTACATCAGCATTCCTGATCCGCCGTAGTTCTAATGCTCTGTGTCACTGCCTGCTCCTTAGGCTCCCTCAGACTCCTTTCAAGCCATGTGTACTTGGTTAGAGGGTGGTTAAGTGGTACCAAGCTGGAATTGTTGTGATGGGGCAGAATGGGTTTAATTCTCATGCAAGTTTGGTTACGGCCTGGTGGTTTTCCATCTCTAGCTTCAGGAATTAGAGCCATCAAATGTCAGCTTATGACAGCCCAGCTACCCCTATTATTTGGATTTAGTTTTAAAATACATACATAAAATATATTAAAAAAAAAAAAACTTACCCTCTGTGATACTTAGGTCTTATACTGTCCACAGACACAGGGAGCTCACATCAGATGACTTAAGTGTACAGAGAAAAAACTCCATGCTTGCGAGTTAATTATATCCTAACACAGAGGCAATCTCAGGAAGAAATAGTTGGTTAGCACACAGCTAATCCCCTTGAAACTAATTTTTCTGTGAAACAGTAACTCTAAAATGCAGTGTTCTGGATCCCTAAAGTACAGGCTGAGGCATTTTCAAATGGTCCTCCATTAGACTTGAAGCCATCTGCTTGTTTGTAACCAAAGTATAAATTTTCTACTGTTCTAAGCACCGTGACGATGGTATCACTCCAGAGAGAAGCAGCACCACGGGAGCCCTGTGGAAGGGCTCCTGCCAGCCCTGCTCTGAGAGGCACTTCAGCTTCATTTCCATTGATTTGATTAAGGACAGAGAACCAAAGAAAAATACAGTGTCTACTCAGAGTTGAGCTCCACTCTCCTAATATTCAGTTGAGCTTCCAAAGGGTTAAATCTCATTCAATCTGCTTACATGGAGTACCCGTTTGCATTATGGCTCTCAAAGAGTAATTAGCCCTCAGCTGTAAGACAGTTGTCAAAATCAATATGATCTGCTTTTGAAGGGCCATAAATAAAATGGAGAGGCAAGTTTCTCTTACAGGAAAATTACTGACCGTAAGTGTGGTATTAAGTATGGTACCAGAGTGGGCTGTGCCTCTCTTTGATTCTTAGTGTTGCTTCCAGTAAATTCTAGATTAACATCTTAGTCACACTGTTTTTATGCATGTTCGATTTTCCACAGCCAGTTCCCCACAGAGTCACTACATTTATGTATACTAGTGAATCAAAATACTTGTTAGCTAAGGCTATTGATATAATTGTCGCGGTAATAATTTGGTTTCGATATATGCAAAAAAGTGTACCTATACCAAGAATGTACTGAAGGACCTCATCACATTGCTGTTACGGAACCGGTGAAAAAGGAGTTAATTTCTGTTGCCATGTTGCCAGAACTGCAGTCATTTATTCAAGAGTTGTCAAAGACCTGGCACAGTGGCTCATGTCTGTAATCCCAGCACTTTGAGAGGCCCAGGAGGGAGGATCACGTGAGGCCAGGAATTTGAGACAAGCCTAAGCAACATAGTGAGACCCTGCCTCTACAAAAAAATAGAAAAATCATCTGAGTATGGTGGCATGCGCCTGTAGTCCCAGATACTCGGTAGGCTGAGGCAAGAGGATCCCTTGAACCCAAGAGTTTGAGGTTGCAGTGAGCTGATACCACTGCATTCTAGCCCAGGCAACAAGAGTGAGACCCTGTCTCAAAAACAAGCAGAGAAAAGTTTTACTTTCAACCACTTAGAGTCATATTCTCCACTTGGAAACATTCACAGAAAACATCTTCGTAAATACAGTGCTGTTGTACTCAAAGTACATTTTCTTATGCAGCTAAACGCAGTGAACGGGCATGGGTTTTCTGAGTGTTCAGTTAGATACCCTGAGGCTAAGTTACAGTGGGCTTGGTAATGTTAACTTCTTGCTAGTTATATAAATTGTACCCTAGTTGAAGAGGCATATTCGTGTTTTCCTATGGTTTTTAAGAGCACATCAAAATAGTTTACTATGCTGTGGGCTTGGAGTGTCTTTTTTATTTTTAAAGAAAATATAAAGGCAGAAGACTCATAATATTGCAGTCATAAAAGCTTCCATTACAATCTTGATAATAAAATTCAAATAGTATTGTCCTGCAGAATCAGATATGGAGCCATCAAGAAAATTTTAGTATTTGAAAACAAATTCTTTAAATTACAGTAATAGGACATATTTAAAAATCACATAAAGGAAAAATCTTTTTGCAAAATGTTAGTAAAATACAGTTAAAAAAACAAACTTGTACAACTTCCTTGTTCCCTTGTTTTACCTTTCTGTTGTTTTATGTTAAATATGGTAGATTTTGCAAGAAAAAGTTAATATCACAAAATATAAATACATGTTATCATTCATTTTCCAAAGTGATTGGCATGGTATTCCACTGTGGTGGGTAGTAACAATCCCAACTTCTCATTTAACAAAATTAAGAGTTCAAATCACTCTCCTCTTCCTCCATACAATTTCCTTCTTAAAGGATGGATCTTCAGGAATAATAATGCTGAAAAAAGAAAGAATATTCAAATGTGATGTAAAAAGTTGTAAAAAAGTCAAATCCCCTGAAACACTTGAGTAGACACTTAGCTTTTTTTTTTTTTTAGCATATTATGGGGTACAAGTGTTAAGGTTACGTATATTGCCCATGGCCCCCTCCCCCCGACACTAAGCTTTGATAGGTAGTGCTTTTCTTAACCCAGTATTTTGTTAACACAAAATTAACCCCAGGAGTGAGGTATCAATGAGATTAGATGTGTTGGTTGGTTTTTAACTTATAATTTAATCATGTAATATGCATATGCTTTTGAATGCTTGTTTTAATTTTATTTCATCACTGGTTGTAATTGTTCTTTTATTGTGTATTAAAATTAACTAGTAAAATTCATTGTATGTTAATTATAAGTAACATGAATTGTGTTTTATATCTAGAGAGAAACTAGATTCTGAAAGACATATACCCCTGGCCACAGAGGAATTACAATAAGAATAGTACTTCTTTCTTTCCCTAAAGGCACAGCTTCAAGGACTCTTTTATTTACATCCCTGTCCCAGGGATGCTGGATATTGATTGGGCAGTGGTGGTGGTGGTGGTGGTGGTGGTGGTGTGTGTGTTTACACCAACTTCAGGTACTTTTGAACAGTTCATGGTTAAGGCAGCTTGAAAGCAAGAAAAGATTGGTGTTGAACAGATACTGTGACCAGTCAGAAGATAACTAGTGCTACAACACTTTTATGCTGTGATCTTGTATCTAAATCATCAGTCACAAAGTAAAGGAAAAAGTTGGCCGGAAAGTTATCCTATCTTCAGCTCCGTGTAGTCCTTTTAGGTCCTCACAGGTCAGAGAGCACTGAGGCCTGCCGGGTGTCAGATCGCAGGTTTGGCTCATTTTTCAACAGACAATCTTTTTTTTTTTTTTTTTTTTTTGAGACAGAGTCTCACTTTGTTGCCCAGGCTAGAGTGAGTGCCGTGGTGTCAGCTTGGCTCACAGCAACCTCAATCTCCTGGGCTCAGCGATCTTACTGTCTCAGCCTCCCGAGTAGCTGGGACTACAGGCATGTGCCACCATGCCGGCTAATTTTTTGTATATATATTTTTAGTTGGTCAATTAATTTCTTTGTATTTTTGGTAGAGATGGGGTCTCGCTCAGGCTGGTTTTGAACTCCTGACCTTGAGCAATCCGCCCACCTTGGCCTCCCAAAGTGCTAGGATTACAGGCGTGAGCCACCGCGCCCGGCTCAACAGACAATCTTTATGCACCTTTTGTGTATTTTAAACTGGACGGTAAGTAAAACACGGGACAGTATGAAAGGAGCAGGTTTAGAAGTGATATATTTTTGATAAAATTGCAGGTGCCGATTGTAATTCTTCAGTAGCC